AGATGAGAACTGGCGACTTTCTAGTACAACTTTAGTACGCGGAGCAATCTGTGGAGCTGGAAGCTGAGAACTGGCGACTTTGTAGTACAACGTGAGTACGTGGAGCAATCTGTAGAGCTGGAAGCTGAGAACTGGCGACTTTCTAGTACAACTTTAGTATGCGGTGCAATCTGTGGAGCTGGAAGCTGAGAACTGGCGACTTTGTAGCACAACTTTAGTACGCGGAGCAATCTGTAGAGCTGGAAGCTGAGAACTGGCGATTTTGTAGTACAACTTTAGTACGCGGAGCAAGCTGTGGAGCTGGAAGCTGAGAACTGGCGACTTTCTAGTACAACTTTAGTACGCGGATGAGTCATCTCTCGCGGCTGCTCTGGCCCCTGCAGCTGAGTGAGAGGTTGACAAATTTTCGCTTCTTTGCCTACTCATAAGTGGCTGCCACAAAAGAAGAGTCATCGTGACGTTAGTATGTGTGTACTTCACCTTCATGACAAACGATGTTCGCTTGGAATACACGAGTCGCTTGTCATGATCGTGATGTCGTTTACTCTCAGGTCGCCCTGTTGGTGGAAACTTCAGTGTGAAATGTACGTTCTTCAGTTCTGTTTGAACCTCTTCAGCGTTGTACTTGCACAACTAAGGTTGACGTTGCCCTGCCGTTGCATCGACGCATCTACGTCTACGCCCCCTCACCTCTCTACATTTACATCTTCACACCTCACCACACCCACACATCTGCACATCTATATCACATCTGTACATCCACACTGTCGCTCCTTCACATCTGTTCTGTCTTTCTTTCTTTCTACATATCTTTTCTCTCGTCTCTGTGCACTTACATCTTCGCACGCTCACATCCACAGATCTACCTCTCCACCTCCATGCATCTACAGATCTATATCGCACCTGCGCATCCACACTGTCACTCCTTCACATCCGCTCTCTCTCTCTCTCTCTTTTTCTCTTGCTATAAATCTTTTCGACAGTGCTGGACAATTACATGTCTCGCTCTCGGGCCAACCGTCGTCTAGTTGCAGCCCGAGGGGTGGAGGGTGGAGGGCAGGAGTGGTTTAATTTGAATTGAAAGCCACCTGATGGCGGGAGTGGTTACTGTAGATATCCGCATGGTTCTTCGAGCGTCGGCGCCTGCGAGTGGCAGGCTGGTTCACACGTGCTTGTTGATTATACAATGCGTCCGAACTTGCGTCGGTTGCGACAACGAAGTCCGTTAATTTTTCCAAGCTGCTGCAATGACCCAGGGGCGGCGCAGTTTGACCTACACGCGCAAATGTTTCGCAAGCCACCATCGGAGCCTCTGAGGCCACCGTCCACAGGTTAAGCCACGCTGGAAGGGGCAAAGGTTTTTGAAAGTCGGGGACTGCCTGCAGGGCCACCGTCGGAACTTGAAGCCACAGATTAAGCCGCTGGAAGGTTCTTGGTGCAAAGGTTTTGAGCCGCCGTCCACAGATAATGCCGCATAGGAAGGGACAAAGATTCGGAACGCTGGTTGTGAGGCCATGATTGAAAGCCCACCAATGAAAGCACTGATGGCTTTCACTCAGGTGAAGGCCTTTGATCGCAAGTGGAAGCCGAAGTTTTCGAGGTCAAGGCCTTTGAGGGCATTTGTTCAGGGGAAGGCCCGCCAGGCCACGAAGGGTAAAGCTTGGTCCGGTGGAGGTTCTTCAGGTCAAGGCACTGCAGGCCCGTGAGTCCATTGGTGAAGGTGCACTGGGAAAGGTTTGGGAGAGGATCTTGAAAGGATGGATCAAGTGTCCTACAGCGATCAAACCCCTGCATTGCATGTAACAAATACGCGCGACAATTTGGAGTTTTATTGTAGGATGCCTTCGCAAACAACATGTTCGCAAGGGATTGACTAGCGCAAGCCTCGTCCTAGACATTCATTGGTTCATGCCATGGTTCATGCAAAGCAGTCCTGTCCGCGAACGCATGCGGGAGTGGTTTTTACACACTGCAGCTTGCGATAGACAGAGCTCAAGCCGCGAAAGTGCGGTGACAGAAGCGTGCGAAAGAAGAAACCGTTAGCGCAAGTTCTTGGTATGTTTTGAGCAACGCTCGCTTGTTTTACCGGGCCCTCTCGTGCTCCTTCGGTTTATTGACTCGCATGGTCCCTCCCCATTGGTGTTGCTGTATCCCAAGACCTGTATTTCAATACCTGTAGCCAAACACTTGAATCTGTATTTTTTTTGTAGATGTGAAATAACATGTGTACCACCTGCATCTCTACACCTTAACAAATGATGATGATGGACGGCGGTTGTTGATGATGGTGATGATGACGGTTGTGATGACGACGATGATGATGATGTTGTTGTTGATGATGATGATGTCGGTGACAGTAGTGATGATGATGATGGTGATGATGATGACGACTGTGATAATGATGATGAAGTTGGCAGCCTTTCTTTATGGACAACCGTTCGCAGGTGCTTTCGGGAAAAATGAAGCAGATACAAAGGAATGTGATCCAAAAATCTGAACCAATGCTCTCCTCTCTTCGCACCGGTTCTTCCATGTCTCGACCTGTCAAACCGAAAGCCGGCTGATACGAATCAGTGTAGGGGAAACCATCCGGAGTGACACCACCATCATTCCATAGCATGAACCACATGCACATCTAGATCATGACATGCACATCCACTACATCCTTCCTAACACTGATGCCACATATCAATGTTTCTTTTCGGTCACCTCCACCGTACTTCCTCAAAAGATTTGCCCCAGGTCAGTCTCGAGTGCCACGCGGCGCAACCGCGTCTCCGTGAGTGGCTTACTGCCGGCCAAGTGTCCTGTGCATATCTAAAATTTGTGGTGCTGAGAACGCCTCAGTAGTGTTTTTTCCGTATGAGCAAGGGAAAAGGTACAAAAAACTCCTGTACCGAGTTCCCAGGGAGCGAGAGCGAGCGCGAGCGCGCGACCAGGCTGAACTCTCCTCCAGTGGGGGGTGCGACGACTTCGGTGCTTCGGTGGCAGCTGAAAGCCCTTCGCGTGGCGAACATCTGGTCGGATTCGTCCAAGAGAAGGGCCACAGGTTTTCGTTCACCAAGTTTGTTCTTGGAAAACCCATCTCCCAATGTGGGTGTTGGGCATACTGCCTTGGTGGTGAACCTGTCCAGCCCATTTGGCCGGTGGGGAATTCCCTGGTGCCACTGGCGGGAGAAGCCACATCAGTCAAAAAACAATCGGCAGGATGACCGGTATCGGTCACATGTTAGCTAGGCGAACGGACCGGAGATGGCAAAAGAAGCATGACGTAGCCTATTTGCAGTGGTTCCCCCAGAGTGTGGAATAGGGAGACTGTGTTCTGGCACAATTTTTGACCCAAGAAGGCCACAAACCCCAAACCACTAGCGAAATCACACCCGGCCCCGGGGCCCCTTCCCAGTGGACAGCGCAGACTCCATGGTTCGTGTCACCCGCCCAGTGCGGCTAGCACAAAACCGCCCGACACACCGCCCAGGTGCGCGTGTTTCAGGCAGGAAATGGTCTTGATCTCCTTATAATGCCATACCTTTCGGAAAGAGTCAAAACCTCTATCGAAAAGTGAAGAAATGCCTACGGAACCAAAAAGTCTCTCGATTCATGGCACTTTTCGTCCGGATAGATGGAATGCTTTCAATGCATCATTCACCTGGGGTACTCTCCGTGTTTTAGACCGGTGGTACTTGTGGCGGTTCGCACGTTTTCCCTCGGGTACCCCGCTGATGTGGTTTGGGGCCCTGAGGTGCGAACGTGGACGTATCGCATGGGTTTGGGGTTCAAAAGCGACTTTTGGAGGGTGGGGCAAAACGGAGAGCTGCGGTCTCGAGGCTCCAATAGGACTTGTGGTTTCTAAGGCAGTTCTTTCTTTTTCCTTTGGTCTGTTTGATCGTTTTGAGACTGGATCATATGTGCTGGCTGATGTTGGCTGGATGAGCTGTGCAGGATCACATCCCAAATGCTCGTGGCAGCCTCGGAAGGAGGAAGAGGAAGAGACCTGCGTAAGAATGGCAGTTTCACTCGTGACCCCGGTCGGAGAAAGGTTGCTGTCTGCAGGGACCACCCGTTACCCTCGACCAGCCGGGAGAATCTGTCTTTCTGGTTTTGAGTTGTTATCATTGCACATTTTGTAAAAAGACAAGAATTCTGATGACGTGCTGCTACAGATCTAGCCAGGACTTGGTCGTTTTCTCTACATGGTGGGTTCTCGGGAGGTTCCGCAGCATGTCGTGGATTTGGATCTCACAGCTTTCCCTATCCATTCAGGTTCCGCTGGGTCCTTGGTGGGCAATGTCCCGCCACTGGACAGGCCCGCTGGGGCATCATGAGGACGAATGGAGATGCAACGAGGCTTAATTTTGGCATAAGTTTGGCCCTACAATTGGTAAAGGCATGCTCAAGGCTTCTCTTTCCTTGCCGGGGATGCAGATCCTGCTTGTGCTCCTTTGCTTGTTCACCCGAAACGGATTGGATGCAAGCTGGGCCCAGTGGTCGAAACGACCTGAAAGGTTCCTGAGGGCTCCACCGTGAACGCATGCGAACGCACGCGAACGCGTTCAGGCGGAGGAAAGAAGGTGGGGAAAACTGCCAGGAGCGGCACCAAGAATGTGTCTCAGTGGGTTGGGAGGAGGTTTGGAGGGTTTGGAGGTTTTTGCGAAGGTAAGATTTGGTTTGGGCTTGCAGCTTTGGAGGGCTTCTTTTCAAGGCCCTGGCAGCTGGAAGAAAGTGAATTGGGGAGAAGATCTCATTCAAGTGTTCCTCTTGGTGACAATGGATCGTCTTGTGGATTCACCTTGAGGGAACGACAAGCTGACAAGCTCTTCCAAACCACGCAGAATACATATATAATCATATATATATATAATTAATATGTAGCCATAACATATACAATTATGATCAATGTACATATATATATATATATATAATGTGGACGTCGGACTAATCAATGGGCCCCCCTTCAAGGTCAACAAGGTTTGAGATTGGAGGTACTGGAGGACCACATCCCCCGAACAAAGGTCATGACCTGGACTGGATGATGGTGGATGATGGCTGATGGGATTCTGTGTGAATCACGAGAGCTTGAACCATGAGAACCATCAGACTCTGAGCATATTGGCACAAGATTGATAAGAGATCTGATAGGATAATTGGATCAATGCCCATTGGACCAACAGATATTGGATACTGCCCCAAAAGGAAACAGTAACAGTTGGAATACTAAACTAATTGTTTTCAACTTTTTTCTGGTGCAGCTGGGCTTGATTAATATGGGGGGTTTCTGGCCAGGAAAAAAATATTAGGGGGATGCCAAGGTGGAAATTCAGGTTTTAAATTAGTTTAGTATTGGGGGCTCGAGCTGGGCTTGATTAATAGGGGGGTTCATTGATTCTAGGTCCTAGGTGTGCATTACAAGCAAGACCATCAAAAAGCAGCTATGATGACCAAAGATAGACTTTGATTTGATCTTGTGCCATTCTGTGCCGGGCTTCTCCTCTCGAGCCTGCAGACCTCAGCCACACTGGGCGGCAAGACGGCCAGCACCTTAGCCGGCCGAAGAGCGGATAGGAAGTGCCTTTGGCAGAAAAGACAGGCTCAGAAGTCCTGTGAAGGAGTAAACCTCTGCTGAAATTGGCCTGAAAGCCAAGAGTTTCGGAGTGGGCCGCAGCCAAAGGTCTTCCCACCAGCGATTTTTGCACCGGGAACCTGCCTTCGATCCCGCCCGTCCGCTCAGACGCCCCGGATGCCCAAGAAGACGCCGCGCATGGCTTCGCCGCGGAGCTCTTGGGCCAACGGTCGGGAGGGCTCAAAAACGAGCGCCCGGGCGCCGAAATTCGCTTCTACTACCTTCTACCTGCCAGATAGCATTGGCTAAGTGGACAACCATCTCTCACACTCTTTTTACTTTTCCATATTTCATCACATCATTTTACTTGAGTCCCAACTCATTTTACTCCTACCTTCTACTTGCATCTAGTAGCTAGGATTATTGTGATTCAATCTCTACTACCTTCTACTAGCTAGGTTGCCCTGATAGCTAGGCTGCTAGTGAAGCACTCATTTTGCCTAAGCATGACATCATTTTACTTAAGCTCCGGTCGAAGTAGGAGGTTACTCGGCACTTCCGCAAGGAAAGACCGTTTGGCTAGATTCGCTAGATCCCCTCGGGGATCCCCGCAGTGGGAACTGTTCGGTTCTTGACTCAAGGGGGTGAAACCATGGCCGAACTCGATGCCGTGTGCTGAGGTGCCGGACCTTGTGGCAAAGTCTTGACCGATGAGGACAGCGACGGGACCTTTGTGGATTGACCAAGTCAGGCAGAAGTCGAAGGCGCAGTTTTCTACTCTCTTTTTCAAATCTGGTTCAAAATAGCAACGGCATTTCCATGAAAGCCTTTGCTGGTGCAAATCCTCCGCTCTCTACTTTCCCTCGGAATGGACGCCTGACCCGCGCGGAGTCTTCCGCCGTCCTCCGCTTTGGAGGAAGAGAAGCGACGCAGAAGACCTGCCGAGGCCGGTCGACCCAGCCGAGCGGAGTCGATTCTGTTCTCCAAACAGGGCCCGTGGGGGCTCTCTTTGGATCTGGATCGTGGGGCCCTGTCTTCCCTTTGATGTGGACTGATTTAATCAAATCCCTATGGAGAGGCTTTACGATCCAAATCTGGGGTGCTATTTCTTTGAATCAAGAGTCTAAAGTCTAAAGCGATTTCTCCATTGGGCCCATCTCCTCGGCGCGCCCACGGGGCGGAGTCACCTCACGAGGTGCCTCCGGTGGATCTGAAGCTTCGCAGGCGGGAGGTGGCAGTCGTCCATTCACGGCTGCCGAGGGCACGGCCGAGGGCAGTGGAAACATGAATCCCAACTGGTATTTGCCAAGGCCACCACTTGCGACAAGGTCTCCACTAGTATTTGCCACCTGCAACTCGAAAGAACGAAATTGACTATGGCGACTATGGTCCAATGTGCAGTACGTTTGAAAGCGACAGTGAGCCATGTTAAGAAGCAGGGAACCAAGGAAGGCAGCCGTCGCTGGGTGCAAGTGGCTGCAGACGGCCAGTTGCTGCAAGTGGCTGCTTTTGAGCAATTCAAAGTCCATGTCATTTGCATGTTTCCTATACAGGTTTCTGAGAATATTTCCTCCCCATTCTCAAGCCATGTCAGACCGGGAGCGGTTGGACGAAGGAGATGGGTGGGAGGACCATCGGTTGGTCTTGGTCGTTGCGTAGGGGAAAGACCAGCAGACAAGCCTTCGACGTAGCCAACAGCGACCTTTTCGCTTTTGTTTGTCAAAACGTGCACTGAGAGATCTCGTCCGCTGGTCTTTTGCCTAAGGAAGTCTTGACAAAAGTTTGACTTCCCCAACACATCAGTTCAAACTATATATTATATATATAATTATATAATATACATAAGTAACGAGAAGCTACTAGGTTGGAGGCCATCGCTATTAGGTTGGAGGCCATCACTACTAGTAACAATTATATATATATATTGTATTTTTTTCAGGGATTCATTTTGAAACAATCCACTCTCCTAGTCTCCATCCTGCCAGGTCTGCCTCGGGCTCCCTCATGGAAGGTGCTGGACGGGTGAAGATCTGGAGGTCAAGCGCTTTGAAACAAGTCTCACAAGGAATATATTTTCAATATATAGAGAGAGTTTTAACAAAGAGTGTCCAAAGATCACATTTCCAGACAAAAGTCGCAAACAGTAGAGATTCTTCGAGACAAGTATGGACAAGTAGAGATCGTGAGATTCCTAGAGTAACGCATCGCAACATAGAGGTTTCTATATGGAGACACATATTGAAGTGGTACATCTGCACCGATAAAGTGGAAGGTGTTTACCGATGATAGATTATACGTTTTGCAAGTGCCCAGTGGTGAAGCGGTACCTTTCTAATGGTGAGGAAGTGGGACGTTACCGTTGGTGAAATTCCATTTCAAAACATACATTGATTCATTGGTCCGGTATCCCAAACATACGTGCCTTGGGTTCATCGAAGGCCGGCGCCTGCTTATGGCCCAAACACCAAAGAAAACCGCGGTTTTACCAAAGGCTACGAAGGTTGACCAACTTTCACTTCCCGTGTTCTCCAGCGACCAAAGCGAAACCGATGTCGGACCTGCAGGTGTTTCAGATTCGAGGGCGAATGCAAGCGGTGCAGGGACCTCAGGGACCTCGGTCTTTGTTCGGTTTGGCTGATAGGTCTTAGTCTTAGTGGTTCTATAGAGTGCTAGTACTAATGGGAGTTACTGATGTTTGCACCTGATACAGTGGTTGAAAAAGGGCCATACCTGAGCACTCGCGCACTCGTGCTGTTGTGTTTATATTATGTATGTATATATATATATATGTGTATATTATATAAATATATGTATATATATACATGTAATGTGCACAATGGCATACAGAAACGCTTGGGTTTTGATTTGGAGGACGGGACATTAAAGTTCTTGCCCACTAACCCCGGAGCATTCAAGCAACTGATGGGTGCAAGCGGTTTCAGTCCAGCTTCCAAGCACGGGGCACACAAGGGCCACCAAACCCCCAAAGGTTCAGTCTGAAAGTTGAAGGACGGGTTCCAACAAAGGACCCCCTGACGGCCAGTCGCCACCAAGCCACCATGACGTCACCGGTGCCACCGGCCGTCGCCTCCGGGAGGCTTATCCCGTGGTGAAGCCACCCCTTTCAGTCTTGACCTGAGTTCTCAGTTGATGATACAGCCACTGCATGGCTGCAGGTTGGAGGTTTGCCTTGGTTTAAGCAAATGGATTCCACTGGGGAGTCCTTTTGGAAGTTTATCAATCCCATGGTGCTTCCACCAACTATTTGCATTCCTCGCACGTTCTGAGGCCACGCGGAGTGGTGCCGAGTCAGCTACGACGGGGACTTTCACATCTTTCTCAGGCTACGACGGGGACGCGTTAAGTTTTAGCCTTCCGTTCACCTAGGGGTCTTTGGTCCCTATCCACAACACACGAGATCATGGCTTTCCACCACAGCTTATGCTTGTGGTGCATGTATATCCCCTGTGCATCATCAGCATGCATAAAGTGCATAAGCAGCCACATGTCCATCAAGCGCTTTTGGATCCTGAAGTGGGAGACTTGTATTGACCACCCGAGGCCGGCGCGCCTCAACCCCCAAAGAGCGTGTTGAGCACGCGTTTTCAGTCTAATGGAGTCCAAGGGTTCGCTGCTTCTTCACTTGGATTGCAGGGTGAACCTCGAAGGGTTCACCCCATGCAGTGCAGACGAGCGTCGTCCGTGCCGAAGCGATGCCTTCGGGGCAAGGCTCCACGACGCCGCTGACGGAGGGTGGAGAGGGAGTGCCTTCCACGTTGCTCTCGCGCTGCTCGGCCTGCGATACTTGAAGGTCGGTGTACCTTTTGACCTTGGCAAAGGAAGATGACTTTGGTTTGTCAGAAGCCTTGGCCTTCAGATGGTTTTTAGGTCCATCTTTCGTGGCGTCGTTGCAACGAAGCCGCGCGGGCGGGGAAATGGCAACCGAGGACTTCGCAACAACCCAGTGCTGCAGGCAGACGATCCAAGAGAGCGGCGGAGAGCGGCCGTATTGTCCCAGACAAGGGGGCCCTGACTTTATCTGATTTTGTTGCTTTCGATCAGCTTTGCATGCACCAGACACAGGGTCTTCTTGGTTTTGTCACTGACAGCTGCTCTTTGACATTGGTGGGACTCTTCAAGAGGCTTGCAACCACCATTCGGCCAGCCGATGAACTGATTGTGTGGTCGCTCTGTTAGGTTCAAGACTCCAGAATTATGCAGCTCATTGGGAAGAGGACCTGGTCCCGACCCGTCGAACTCATTCCTGTCGAACTCATTGGTGAGAACTTCACTTGAAGGGCAAAAAAGCCTTTCACCTGAACGCATCTGAAACGAACGTGATGACCTGCGGACCGGTCGCGTGGGGGGCGGACCGTCGCGTCTCGACCTGCCAGGAGCGTGCTCAAGACCGGCCAAGCGCGGGGGCCGGAGGGGCACCATGGGTTTGGGAATGAGAGCAACAGTGTTGAGACCTGTCATCCGCAATTCCACAGTCTCAACAGGTTTGAAAGAAGGGGGCCGGAACCTGGTACTTCCACTGTTCACTGGAAGACAAGGTTGGAGATCCGTGGTTTTGGGACTCAGATTTTAGCCACCTTTGCAAGATTGTGGACCAGAATTGGTGGCTGACGTGGTCCGGCAGTTTACCACCCGTTCTTCTTTACATGGCTTGAATTCGCGTCAGGCTGGTCGCTCGAAAGCCAGGCCGGGCAGGGAAATGGTGCGAGTCATGATTCATGCTCCAAGTCGCACAAACAGTTCTCTGCCGCTCGAGATGAATACCGCTCGCTGTTGCTGAGCCTCGACCCACATGACGCATGACCGGTTTGGAAATCCGGTCGTTGCTCCTTTTGTGGAGGTCTACTCCCAGCGATGACAAGGCGGGAAAAGGCTTTCGCGACGCACGGATGGAACATTCGCACAAAGGAAAAGAAGCCTCCGGCTTGGGCTTGATTTGTTTCTAAAGCGGGCGTTGTTTGGGGCCGAGATGTTTGTCCAAATTTCGTTGGGAGATGTTTGTGTACACACCCTCGCTGTTCTTGTTAGCTTCTTGTTCGATTGGCCCGGGTGAGCAGGGTACGTCTTAATAACAAAAGTCCTGTTTTAATGACGAAATCAAGATTTTAAGTTCAAAAATTAGTTTTGTAATTGTGAAATGACAGCTATAAAATAAGACTTTGCACAAAGATTGATCATCTAATGTTTGCAATCAAGGAAGCCGCCATCTTTTTCACCTGGTCTTGACGTGGCTGCAGGAACCCCATGAACTGAGGTTGGAATCGTGTATGTGGATGAGGCTGCCAGTGACACTAGTGGCAAAGACCCCCCGAATCGTTCCAGGCACTCTGAATGGACGTGGCTTTCCAATGGCAAAAATTTGATCGAGGGTGGTCTCTGAGTGGAGGACAGTTTTTGTTGAGGCTGCCGGTGGCAAAAACTTCTGAAAGTGGAAAAGATTGGTCCAGGGGTCCAGGGGTCTTTGAATGGAGATCCCGAGTCTTTTGATGAGGCTGCTGGTGGCAAAGACCCTCCTGAACGTAGTTTTCCAATGGCCAGAAGTTACTGAGGGAGTCCTTGAGTGGAGGGCATTTCGCTTGCAATTTTTTGACGAGGCTGCCAGTGTATAGGGGTCAACATTTCCTGCGTAAAATGACTGGCCCTGGGGCCCGTATAAAACGTTTTTTTTTTTAAATGACCCCTAAAGTGACGATGAGGCCCTCATTTTATAGTAAAAAACAAGAAATGACGATGTAGCCCTCATTTTGTAGAGATTTCGTACTGTTGGTTAAATGCATGGACTGCAATTTTGTACAGAAGCATCTTCTGATTTTGTACTCTCAAAGACCAGCCAGCCAACCAATTTGCAGAGAAGGATCGGAGGGTCGACGGGGTGTTGAGGAATTCAAGATAGAATTTTTATACATGTTTGTTGTGTGTCGACCATTGAATTCGCACACCAAATCAAAATTATACAAAGATGAAATCCTTGTACCTACTCCTATCTAGTATGACCCAGTCTCATCTTCTCCATTCAATTCTCCGAATCTCTTGGATCCCTCTTTGGGTTGAAGCATTGTGCAGCCTGCATTGTCCAGATATTCTATAGAACGGTAGTCCCTATTGTTGAGAGTGCCCTGGCTTAACAATATGACAACTCTTTGCATATTCCACCCAGTCTTTACAAAATTTATGTAAGCTATGCTTTTGCTGTTTCCCCCTTTGCATCCATTACAAACTCTTGGTGCCCAACGCAGTCTAAAGCCACTATGAAATCGTGGGGTCCATCGTCACTTTTCCAAACAAGCTGATGTGATCTTAACCTTTTGGTTTGTATGAAATGCTGGGACTCATCGTCATTTCCTGGCTGGTAGGGCTCCAGCGTCTCCAGTACAAAATGCTTGGCTACATCCCCAGCATATTAGCTATATTTTCAACTTAAAATGTCCTCGAAACGCCAGATTCGTAGTATAAGCAATCAATTTAGACATCTATTACGAATCAAGATCCCATCAATCTATACAAAACCACTTTGTGAATTGTGTCTACAAAATTTGGGCCACATCGTCACACATGAAATTTCAACCGGGATGCCAGTGTGGTTTTCCCATGGCTAGCCAGGGCTGTCTTTGACTGGAGCAACAAATGATCCAGTTAATTTTTGAGGCTGCCAGTGGCAAAGGGAAAGTTGTTTTCCAATGGCTTAAAATTGATCCAGAGGAGTGGCGTGAGGAATTTGAATGTGAACCGCTAGCGACTTCTCGATGACCACGTAAGTCTCAATCTATGTTCCAGATGTTCTGTCTTACATGATCCAAATGGTCCATCTTGATGCAATGCAGGAGGTGACCTATGATTTGTTTAAGGATGTTTTTCATGTTGAAAGGCGCAGTTAAGGTCTTCCATGGACGAGTTTCACAATCGAACGAGGCTTGCAATTAAAGAACAACGTTTCGTAATTAGGGGATTGCCTTCTTTCGCTAAGACATACATCGTTATGTTTTGTTGACAAGTCCGCGACCGAATCGCAACTATATAGTAAGTCACGGGACGGTGGCTGCTCTACCCCCCCTCCCCCTACACTCAGGCCCCCCTGTTGAAATCTATGTTCAGGCACTAGTAAGGCGTTAGCAGGCTTCAAATCTCAGTATGGAACTCTTGCTTGAGATTTTGTTTTCTTTTGGTGAGACCTCGGTCTTGTTTCGGTCCTTTACTAACACCTCGGTCCTGCTTCGGTCTACTTATTAAGATCTCGATTCTTGGTGATTTCTGGCTGAATGCTTCACACAGGGCCAATGTGTGTTTTCTGAAACGGCACTTTGTCGATTCTCTCTTTGGCTAGCCAGAGCCCTTACCGAGGCCTTACTAAGGCCTTTACTTTGGGGCACCTTACTACCAAGGAACAGCGGTTTTTTTGGTTGGTTTGACTTTTGTGTTTTTTGCTTTCTATTTTCATATGGCCCGGTGCTTTGACAGCGCCACACGGCCGCATCAAAGCTCAGCTCCAATAACAATCGCAATTCATCAAACATATTGGTCGAATTACACCTTCGAACCTCAGAGCTTGGCTGATCGATGTGTTCGGGGACGGACTTTGCATCAGGAGGAGCTGGACACTGAGGAGGTCGTTGAGACTGTTGAGACAACTCCTTTTGCACCTGGCGATCGCCCGAGGAAAAGGCTCGGTTCCGGTGCTTTCGGATGAGCTGGTTTCTGGAACTGCGCGGAGTCGTCAGAAACAGGGTGTGTTGGCTTGGCTTCGAGAGCTCCAAGTACATCATCATACAGAATGGCACTCCTGTGAAAGGAACATATCGGAACTCGTTTCGCTCTTCAGTGTGGGACAGTGAGGGCTCAGGGTTTCATTTGCCAGATGGCGTCACGTAATCAACCATTTCACCGGAAAGTAAAGCTGGCCGCGCAGCAGCTGTGTTGCCTTCGTTCCTGATGCTAGGTGTTTTGAACATTGTTTTTGTGAGTTGCTCAACTTGTTTGTTGTTTTACGCTGGCTCATCAGTAGCAATCGCTCTACGAAATACAACAAGGACAGGCCTCGACAACAAAATGCAAGCCAAAGTATTGAGATTGTGACTTGTGATGCTATCAATTGTCTTGAGAACTGACCAGACTGTGCTAAGTTTGCTTTGGAATCTTGCGCATTTTCTTGTCTGCCATGTCGCTCCTTGTCTTTGTGGCCGGCCCTTCACTTGGTGCCCAGCCACTTCGGATTGCATCCGGATGGAGCCCTGACGACCACAGAGGTGCGGTGCACCGGACCGCGTCGCTGAGCCCGACCAGTGCGGCCCTGGTCGCTTCCGGCTTGGTACTTGGCTCGCGCGGCCGCGCCCGTCGACAGCGGACGGTCGCACGGCGACCGAACAGGACGACGCGGCAGTTCTTCGGGAACCTCTTTGGCCCAGAGGAGGTGATTGATCCAGATGATCCGGGCAGAGTTGGCGTGTGCAAGGAGTATCAAAGTATGCCTGGCACTGTCGTGGCCGCGGAGGAGTCGGAATTTGGATGGGCAGTAGCTGGGTTTTGCCCAAAAGCACAGTGTTCAATTGATTGGATCCCCGAGTCTTCAGTTCTTTGATGTTCTTTGGGGATGGAGTTTCCGAGGCTTCCCAAAGCATTTGTGGGGCCATTTGTTTTGCTTCCCTCAAAGGGGTGTGTTGTTGTTGTTGTTGTTGTTGTTGTTGTTGTTGTTGTTGTTGTTGTTGTTGT